ATCACGCTCACGAAATCACGTTCTTGGATTACGGCAAAACCCCTGTATCTTATGTTTAGAAACTTTTCAGAGGTTGAGCATGGACAACCAACATTATAACATTACTAATATGTATTAAAAGAAGGATCAGCATAATAGGTCCCCTTTAACACTGTGACACTGCTCAAAGTTCATGTCACCATATATACTGGAACAACTGACCATCGGAGGTAATTTATGGTGTTAAATGGAAAAAGCTAATCAGTCACATTTCAGGCATTTTGAGAAAAATGGGGAAAACATATCCAACCATGGATGGTACCAGCATTGAAAGGGTAAACGAATATAAAGTCATAGGAGTTGTGTTAGATAATCTCTTAAGCTGGAAACCACATGTAAACTTGGTTCAAAGAAAGTTGGCTAAAAGCGTGTCTATTCTTTGGAAAATGCAAAAATTATTAAAATACAAGTCTCTTAAAATAATCTATTCAGCACTCATAGCACCCCACTTACACTACTGCGCTGAAGTATGGGGACACACTTATAATAATACAATAGAATCATTGTTTAAACTCCAAAAAAAGGCCCTTAGAATTATTCATAACGTTCCCTATGGAACTCATACAAACGATTTGTTTATTAAGGCAAAGTTTCTTAAATTGCAGGATATAATAAAATTCAACTCCTTGCAAATTGTGTATTTAGGATACCACAAAGAATTGCCTAGAAATATACAATGCCTATTTCTCCAACGTGAATGCCTTCATGACCTAAGAGGCAGAATGTTGTTGCAAACTAGAAGGGTCAGATCGACTCGGAGTGAGCACTCCTTATCGGTGGCTGGAGTCAGTGCATGGAACATACTTGAACACAAGGTCAGAAGGGCAGACAATTTGAAAGACTTTAAGTATCTTCTGAAATGTGCATGTTTGAATAACTATGAACTTATCCAACAAAATGGCATTGGATAAATTAAACAGAACCATAGCGGGCATAAACAATAGGGGTTGTTTATAGACACTCAGCTATACTGTGATTAAAATTCTTCATGATGTTCATAAATCTCTATGATTTTATGTTGTGACGTTTAAATCGTAGTGTAAATAGACACTCAGCTCTGTTGTGATTTATAAATCTTTATGATATCTTACCCATAATCAAACTGTTTTTCTGGGAGTTGGGGGCGGGACTTTGACAAGCGATTTCGCTTCTCCCGCGACCCTTTCGGTCATGATACATGTTGTGTTGAAATTGTCATGGAATGACTGTACAATCATGCTGAAATGAAAAAACAAATAATTAAAAAAAAAAAAAAAAACCCCATCAATAAGGCCATGCCTTCTGCCATTCCTTAGTTTGGTGTTTTTTGGAAACCTGTGCATTATTTCTAAAAAGTTCCAGTGCGAAATGCATGCATCAGAAGAAGCCAGTAAGTCCAAAGTAACATCAAAATCATTTCCGCAAAAATGTGACTTACTTCCTTTTTCCATTAAACGCTAGATTTTGCGGAATAATGTTGCCTCAAACCAGTTTTAACAAATTTATTATCTTCAATAATCGTTAAATAATGAGCCTTGAAACATGCATTCAGGCTATGCAAGAGTCAAAAAAATTAAATTTGCAACACCTTTCAATTGTTATAAAAAAATTTATATTTTCAGTGTTTTTGTTGATTACCCATATTTCTACCTCAATATACTTGTGGGAATGATGTTTTTTCTATTCATTGCCTACAATGGTATTTTTCAATACATTTTCACCAAAAAAATATTGAGAAGTAATACAGTTGTATATTAGGCCACTTTTAGACAAAAGTGGCAGTGTGAAATCATCACTGCACACTACTGGATATAAAAACTGCTCAAAAAAAAATTAAGGGAACATTTTAATCACATAAACATCATATTTTGATAAACAAATTATTCAACTTGAAAATGTTTAATCATGTAAATTTTACAATTTGTTAAGAACAAAATGATGTAACCGTGGTCAATGGAAGCCAAAATCATCAACCCACTGAGGACTGAATTCAGAATCACCCCAAAAATGAAAGTAAACAATTGAAATCACGGGCATATCCAACTTGTGTAAATTTTATCTCAGCAACCCATAATGTAACTCAGTAGTGTGTATGGCCCCCACGTGCCTGTATGCACTCCCGACAGCGTCAGGGTGTGCTCCTGATGAGTCGGCGGATGGCGTCCTGGAGGATCTCCACCCAGGCCTGGATCAGGGCATCAGGGAGCTCCTGCACAGTTTATTGCGGTGCTGGGCGGCGTCGGATGCACTGTTATATAACGTCCCATAGGTGCTCAACTGGATTTAGGTCAGAGGAACGAGAGGGCCAGTCAATGGCATCAATGCCTTAGTCATCCAAGAACTGCCCACTCACACTGGCCACATTGTCCTGCACCCGGGGGAACCCAGGAACCACTGCACCGGCGTACGGTCTGACAATCGCCGAAGGATTTCATCCTGGTACCAAACAGCAGTCAGGGTACTGTTGGCAATGAGACAGAGGTCTGAGCAATAGGCCTCCTCAGACCACCACAGACTCACCGCCAAATCGGTCATGCTGGATGCTCTTAAAGGCAGCATAACGTCTGCCACGGCATCTCCAGACCTGTCAGATGTGCTCAGTGTGAAACTGCTCTCATTTGGGAAGAGAACGGGCGCCAATGGCAAACCTGCCAATTCTGGTGGTCTCTGGCGAATGCCAATTGAGCTGGACGGTGCAGGGCCATAACCACAGGTCCCACTTGACGACATCGGGCCCCCATGCCACCCTCATGGAGTCTGTTTTTGATGGTTTGGTCAGAAACATGCACACCAGTAGCCTGCAGGAGGTCATTTTGTAGAGCTCTGGCAGTGCTCCCCCTATTCCTTCTCACACAAAGGAGCAGGTACTGGTCCTGCTGCTGAGTTGATGCCCTTCTGTGGCCCTGTCCAGCTCTCCTTGTGTCACGGGAGGTCTCCTGTTGTCTCCTCCATGCTCTTGAGACTGTGCTGGGAGACACAGCAAACCTTCTTGCATCTGCACTTATGGATTTGCCATCTTGGAGGAGCTGGACTGACTGTGGTACCTGATTGGGCTGCCGGTACCGCCTCATGCTACCAGTTGTGACAAGAACACCAGCAGAACACAAAACTAGAGACTAATCTGTCTGGACGGATAAGGAGAGAGCAGTAGTCTGTGGCCAGTACATACACAACCATCCCCTTTTTGGGGGTCGTCTTGCTTTTGCCTCTCCATTGCACCTGTTGTCAATGTCATTTGCATGAAAGCAGATGAAATTCATTCACAATCACTTTTGCTTCCTAAATTGACAAATTGATATCCCTGAAGTTTAACTGACTTGGTGTTATACCATGATGATTAAGTGTTCCCCTAATTTTTTGAGCAGTGTATATGCATATGTTCTGCTGGGAAACCCTGAATACTCAAGTACCGTCAGTTCAATGGGGCGGTTTTAGCAGGACAAAGGGGACTTTCACTATATTAGGCAGGTGGTTTGAATTTTATGGCTGATCGGTGTGTGTATGTGCTTTTGTTTGTCAATGAAAAATAATTTTACTGTGCTGCTTTGGTAATTTTATGCTTTTTTCTTCTCAGTGTAAGACGACACCATACGATGGTAAGTTACTTCAGTTACTTTTCATGAATCAAAATTAGTTTCTCGGCCCATTTTTTCCTATCATATGTGATATATGTGAGGATTATCGTAACTTCTTCCACGATCTGTGATGGGAGTGGTTCTTCTTTCTTAATTTGAAAAGACGCACGGGCTATACATTAACTGCGAATAGGCGTGATTGAAAGAGGGGCGATCCTTCCTATGAGGTTGCATAAACTGCCATCCTGCCAATACTGCCATCCTGCGTCAGACCTCTGGCGCTCACGCAAGACAATGGTGCATGCGAAATTAATTTTTTTGTTCTTTCTTTCTGAAGATGATTGCCTTTATTTTGCAGACATTTGTCCAATGAAGCATTTTACTGATTTATATTACTCATTATTATGGTGCCATAAATTGAAGAAAAGTGGCCCTAAGCACAACAGTGATCACACCACAATTAAATTTATTTTCTATTCACAAAGACAAGCAAAACAAGAATCGTGATTGGTTCAACAAGTATGCATTTATAACTCACTTGAATGCATCTGTATTTGGAACAGCAGGACATGCAGAAGCTGGAAGAGTTCCACAGCCAGCTTGTCATAGGAATATAGGAAGATTGTTGGAGTTTTGTGTTGGGCTTTGGTGTATGAACAGCCTAAGCGGGACCACTCGCAGATCAGGTTACTCGCACACTAGTTACTCCAGAAAGCAGGATTTGTTTTCAGCTCAATGGATAGTTGCAGGAACAAATAGCAGTAGAGGGTACAGAGAGATGTAACTTTCCTCCTGTGCTCCAATGGGAAGATGCCAGTCTTGTTATGGCCATCAATTTTTAATAGACAGAGAGCTTTCTTCTGCAGACTGTCTAACAGCTTTTGAGCCAATGCCTGCTCTGATCCATGTAGGAGAGGCATACTCCATGAGATTTCAGATGTAAGCCTTTTTGATGATTATTAGCGCCTGAAGATGAAGAGGGTTTCTGGCGCGCCTTAGGATGTATAATCTTTTTTTTTTTTTTTTTTATTTGGCATCTCCAATCCCACCCGAATCTGGAATGTCCGATTGGGGAACTATGTACAAGGCTTTTCGCATTTGCGGCCCCCTATTGCCAACTCGGGAGAGTGAGACAGCTCGCGGCTCTCCTCCGAAGCACGCGCCCATCGCCACCGCTTCTTATACACTCATTGGTCGAAACCTCGCAAGCTCAGAATGAGGGCGGAGGATACCCGAACATGAGCGAGCTTAGAATCTTCCTGACGAGCGCCTGTCTGGCCAACAGGAGGCGCCTGAGAACTTATTATTTACAATACCCTATCCCGGCAGACCCTTCCCAATTTGCATCCCTGTAGCGCATTGGCCAGTTGCGCGCTACTCTGAAAAGAGCTGCCGACCACTGCCGGCTGGTATGAGGCGGGGATCGAACCCGCGCCGTGATAGTCACTTCTGCTTTGCAACAAGACGCTTTACCGAGTGAACTATCCGGCAGCTGGATGTATAATCTTTTGGCAGTTTTTGTGGCAAGGCAAGTGATGCACAAAGTCCATGACATTGTGTTGGTGATAGTGATACCAAAAAGAGTAATGCTCTGTGTTGGCTTTAGCTCATTGTTCATGTAAAAGAGAGGAGGGTGATTCCAAATTCGATTCCTGGTGTTAAGAAATGGAAAAAAATGCATTTTACACAGTCCAACGAATTAAATGACCTGGTCTTAGTGGTACTCTATTGATTGCACTGTGTTATCGAACACAGTACATCGCAAAGACAGCTCTTGCTGCATATGCTGCGGTGCAATTTGGCCGTTGTAGAATGTCTTTCAAGTATCTTCGATGTTCCTGTAAATGGGCATATAAGGCCAGAGCAACTGATATTTTGACTGCAAATTTTCCATTGCTCAAATTTCAAATCATTTTTCCTAATGAATCCCTATTATGAATTTGTCTGTTTTATCTTTTACTCTATTCAAGTACACTTACTTGGTGTACAAAGCACTGGTCCAGAGATAAGGATGTATTGTGTGGGAAAATATCAACAGAAAAGCTTGGCGAGTTGGTGAGCATGTAGAATTCAGCAAAGGTTTCAACAATGTAATATATGATATATGTGTTTATGCAAGCAGTGCAGAGCAGCCTTTTTCCAGCCGAATTGACAATTTTCTTAGTCTGTCTGAAAAAGAGATTTGAAGGCAATGTGTTAGACCTTTCATAGATACAAGACATATCTATTTTTATTTTTTAATTATGTTTCTGTTTGCATATTAAATCACACAGGCCATAATGCACACGAAACGTGCATGTATAATCCCAAAACAAAATGCCATTGAGTGTAGGAAGTCAACTAATTGAGGATTATCTTAGCAAGATGGCTAGTTGAGCTGCCTATCAAAATACTTACTTGTAGTAGGGTTACTTTTTCATATTTCCCAAGATGATACCCAATTAACAGTGTGCGACCACGCTTGTTCTGAGCGTGTCCTGTTGGAAGAACACCCTTATCGATTGTTACAGTAAGCGGTGCAGGTATCCGCAGACGACGCTTGGCGGATGTGTAAACCGCTGAGCCTGTCCTCCAACAAAATATGCCCGCAAAGGTGGTTTGTCAAGCAGCTTATTACGACCTAAAGTTACATTTAGGAGTTAAGCGACCTCTAGCAGTCATTTAAATAACTACAATCTGGTGTCCATCGTCAGCGTCGCCGTCAGTAAATCTCTAACCTAAGCCTAATCCTAACCCTAATCCTAATTCTAACCCTTACCCTAACCGTAACCCTAATCTTTACCCAAACTGTTATTTTAAGTGTAAATATGACTGAAACTGTATCTGGAACTCAAACTGTAACTTTAACAGTACCTTCCTGCTGCCAGAAGGGGCGCAATTTTAGTAAACGCTCCTATGGGTCGTAAATGAGAATAAACGACCTATTTGAGCGTATGGTTGGAGGACAGGTTGAAACTGCTTGTTGTAATGCATCTCAGTGATTAGGCTACCAGTCTTATCACGCTCTGTGTAAAGACCACGGCCAAACTACAGACAGATTTAGCGAAGTGTACGGGACCAGTATGTAAAGTCCTGTGGTAAAATGACGCTTCATGACCACAGGTCTGTATTTGGGATTGTTGGAAACCATAGGACCACCACTAGAATTTAAAATAGGCCTTATGTTCCTCAGGTTTGAATATACCCAGCTACATTTCATGGACCCATATGTGGGCCCATAAATATCATGGGGTTAACTAGGGACACACAATAGTCGGTTTGGCAGCGAACTCTAGTGAATTCAGAAACATATGGTGTTCAACTTAGACATGGTTTTCCCAAGTTATACGCAGACTGGCTAATGTTTCATAGAGATACCAAATAACTACTTGGGTGACCTCATTTAACGGACACACCCACGGTTGCTCTCTGTTTTACATGGAAATCGTCCCCTGAAATATAACTCCACCCTCGATATTCAGCTCTCTGCCCAATTGCATGTGGCCCTGGCAAAAAATACCAGTAAACTTATGGCTGGAAAATAGAAAAATACAAAAAGACGGCCTATGGTCGATGTCAGTACCATCAGACAAAGCGCATGCAGAAAAATTGGGCCCTACAAGTTTAAGGCTGGCATGTTAATTAAGTATATCTATTGATTTTTGTTATTCTTGTGCTTTTTGCAGAGACCAGAGTTTGTGCCACAATCAACAGGTTTGTTCTGTCAACATTTATTTTGCATCATTGTAAATTTGAAATTGCAGCTAAAGCGGTGTATCAATATTAAAAATTTAAATATTAAATTGTTAGTTGAAGTGCGTGTGAAGTTGTTTCTGTGATATTTCAGCACTGAGCTCCAACACCATCTGGACTCTGGAAATATGACCGACATGTTCTGCCATTTCTCCATTGGTCAATACGCCTGTTCATCGGTAAGCTTCAAATGACTGATGATAATCCCCTCCTCTTCCCATGTGTTTCCCTCTTTTTTCCATTCTTAAATGTCATTTTTAGACATTTCTTAGTTAAGATCTCTTATCAGGAGGAACAAGTAATACGCTTAAAATAATTTGTTTGTCTTGTATTCCCTCTGTCAAGCTCATGGACTTTCAATCTGAAAACCTTGCCATGCTGCTGAAATGCACACTGCCCAGGAACATGACATGCTTTAAAGAAACTTGGAAAGTATTCCTCGCTAAAGTCTCAGGAGTCCTTGATGAAGCTCTGATTATCTTCTCAAACATGGTAAGAAATGGACACGAAAGACCAGTTTAAACTTTTCATTATGAATAAAACTGGTAACATATACTTCTTTTTCACATATACAGTCAACCCACATCACCAGTCTTTCTGCGTCCCATTTCCTGGACATAGTTGGAGAGCTCAGGATTAATGATATCGATGATGAACAGCTGGCAGATGTCAATTTTATCAACCAGTGGTTCCATGGAAATCTGAGACCATTTTTGTCATCTGTATCTGGAGAGTTTTTGCGCTGTCTAGCCACCAAGAACTTCAGCTGTGAGACTTACCAAGAAGTGTATGTAAAAATATTATTTATTATTTTGTAACACTTCTTTTGGATAATAAGTAATTTTTTTATAATTTGCCGTAGTAAAATTGACGATGTATCTTTGTTTTGTACACCAAAAAAATGTTCAGTTGACCCATTCATTCACAGATTTTAACTTATTAATTTAAAGGGTAAAGGCGTTCAGCTCTCAGTTCCTTCAAATGAACCAAATGCGGCAGGAATTGGTCGCCCGATACTTCCTCTTGCCCTTCTTGTCACGGAACACTTCAGGTATCAGCATATGGTCCATTCATTTCAATTTAAAAAAAAAGATTGTTTTTTTTTTTTTTTAAAGAGGAATCATTGGAGATTAAATTAAATTCTTGTTTCCGTTGTTTGAAGAAACTGAACTTTCTCACACCGATGCAATGATTTTTGTGTCTGCTTCCCCTTCAGATCCATCCTGTATCTCTAATACGAGTGGAAGTTTGGACTGGCTGCAAAAGAACTTAGGAGAATTTTCTGTCTTTGTACCTCTGGCTGACCTTCAGACATTGAATGCAGACTTTGATCCGGTGAGACATAACAAACTGGGCACTTAAGAATGCCAAGTGTCTAAATAAGTGCAAGCTGATATTCACTGTCTAACTTTGCTTTTTCGGTCTTCTGTGAGAAATAACCCTCAAATAGAATTGAACCGCCCAGAAAAGTGCTATTTGGTAAGATGAGACAATGTCTTCTCTCCGCAGCTGGCAGCCCTGCCTGCTCTGTCCGCAGAGCAAATGGCCGAGCTGGTTGCTTCATCAGAATATGGTCCTCATCCGGAAGATCTCATTATCAACACAGTTTTTGACTACTTGCTGGACTCACCAAAGCAGCTCAACCTCCCGGAGTTTCTTTATCACCTCATGTCTTTTTCAGCAGAGGTAGTTTTTGTTTTATTTATTCATTTTTAATTAACACAATCATGATAATATATACTGCCTGGCCAAAAAAAAAAGTCGCCTTTAAGTGAACGCTTAAGAGCCAATGATTGAATCATTATTGCAGTGTTTAATGTTTCAGCTGGTGAAAATTCTTTTAGCCTCGACTGCAGTGTGTAGCGTTTCATTTCCTAAACAAACATGTCGGAAGATTGCTGGAGAATGATAGGGAGATTGCTGTAATCAGAGGAATTGGGTTATAAACTGTCCAACACACAATTCAAACGTGGGAGGATAGTGGTGAACTGTCAACGTTGCTGAAGAATGGTTAAAAAAATCATGAATAATTGTGATTGGAGAGCACTAAAACAATTGGTGAGATCTTTTCCTAAAAAATCGACTGTAGAACTCATGCCGATGTTTAATTATGAAAGTAAGAGCATTTCCGCTCACATAATGTGACGCAGATTTACAGGACTCGGACGGTTAACAACTGTGGCCACAAGAAAGCCACTTGTTAGTAAGGCTAATTGGGAAAAAGGACTTCGGGGCACATAAAGATTGGATTGTGGAGCAAGGTAAAAAGTTTGTGTGGTTTGTTGCATTCAGATTTACCCTTTTCCAGCATAATGGATGTGTCAGCTCAAGGAAGGAAACCCATGAATCGATGCAACCATCATGCTCTGTGACCAAATGGCACGTCTAAGCTCAGCAACGTTATTTCTCAATAAAATGAACTTAGCAGACTACCTGAATGAACTAAAATTCCAGGTTACCCCAGAGTTAGTTTTTTAAGTCATGATGGCACAGGCATATTCCAGGAAAACAATGCCAAAATTCATCAGGCTGAAATTATAAAAGAGTGCTTCAGCAAGCATGGGGAATCATTCGGAGTTGTTGGAGTGTCCTACCATTAATAGAAGATTTTGGCCAGGAATTATTGATACTCTGATTGGAAATAAATATTGTAACCTTGCATAAGATTGTCGAAACAAGACCACTACAAATGTGTGCCTTGATCAAAGCTAAAGGCGGGCCAACAAATAATTAAAGTCTGCGACTTTTTTTTTTTTGGC